CCTTGCTGTGTGAGCTCTTCTTTGACGGAGATCTCTGTGGGGCTCTGCCCACTTTTATTACCAGCAGAATAGGCCACTATCACACACTCTACATGGGGACTATATTTAGTCAGGTCATAATTGCCCATTTTGAATGTATTACACCACAGTCTCCTCTGATGCCTTCCTTTACCTGTGGGTTAATCCAGCCCTGGATTTTTTTGGTTCCTTGACAGACAACTTTTGAGAAAAGGGGCAATGTGCAACCAAAGCAGAGAGATAGGAACCAACGGGCTTGATGTTAAAACAAGAATCCTGCTGCTATCCTCAGGGAAGGGCCCTTCATTTCATATATCCCTGTTTTCTCTTGCTCTGTCAAAATCTGAATTGATGAAAAGCAGCTGAGAGTCCTTGCCACCATGGCAGTTCTTCATCACTCTGCAAGATTCAGCTCAGTGTGAAGAAAGTATTATTTTTCTTCCAGCTTCAGGCAGTTTGAAGCTTGAATATGAAAGAAAATGCAGCAAGTCTAACAAAGGGAAAGGAAATGCACATTTGTATGGCTTCATAGCCCCTAATTAGTTTTGTAATATTTATACGAGGCCTAAAAAGTATTCACAGATCCCTGTCTGTAAATATAAATGGATGTGGAAATGAAATCTTCCCTCTGAAATAAGAAAAACACATTCAAATTGAACAGAAATGTTCCCATTTAGATGGCTGGCTGATGGAAAATGAAGAGTTCATTTTAAAGAATAGATTTACAGAATCATAGAACATTCTGAGTTGGAAGGGACCCACAAAGATCATGGAGTCCAACTCTTAAGTGAATGGCCCACACAGGGGATTGAATCCCTGACATCGGTGTTATCACCAAAAAGTTTTAACCAACTGAGCTAATCTCAGGGTCAATATTAGCTGGCCACTTTTCACTCAGGGGCACACAAGCAAACCCACATCTGGGAAAGGCTGCCTTCTGGCAAAGTCAGAGCTTAAGAACCCACACATTTTTCATAGAATAATTTTCCTTTAAAAAAAACCCCAAGCGAACAAAACCTGGCTTTCCCAATGGAAGTCTCTAAAGCAGTATCGTATCTTCTGGTCAGCTGGTTTTATGATCAATAGCTTTATAGCATAAAATGGTTAGCTTGCTAATCCAAGTCCTTCGTGGAAGAGCACATTTTGGGCTAACATGCATCCAGGACATGTTTACACTTCCACATACAATTTTAATGCTCAGTATTAATGTAAGAAAAAATATTTTCAGCCTAGGTAAACCTGTGTATGCACTACAGCAGAGCAAGCAGTGTGGTTATACTGCCATCCAGTGGATAGGCATCCTACACATTGCTGAACTGTAAATATCTTCCAGGAACAGTGAAGATAACTGCATGTCAGGGCTGTACTAAAAGTTTTGGAGTTTTTTAACACCATACTGAAAAATATCTGCATTCTCCAGCTGATAAATTATTCGTATACAAATTACTGGGACAGATTTAACTGTAAGCGCTCTCAGGATCTCTGGTAACCTTCAGTCACCATAATAAGATGGGAAAGATCCGTTTGTACTCTCCTCAGATACATGACCATGTTCTGTTTAAAATCCCAGATTATATCAGATGCCTGGAAGTCCCAGTGGTAGCAAAAGGGGTTTAGAGTCCTTTCAAAGTGATAGTGAGAATGGGGGTTTAAGGAGCACAAGAAAGATTTTTCAATATCTACAGCTAATATGTATGGCCAGTCTTCACGAACGAAGATTTTCGGAAAGGTCTTTTACCTTTCAAGCCTGCGCAATGGATTTTTTAGGTGAGACACAACATGCGCTGAACTGAGCCCACCCTTTAATCCTAAGGTTCATCTGCTGGGGCCAAGCGAGCTTGGAACAATGGCAGTGAGGTAGGATACAGCTAATAGAAAATCATCAAAAAATGCCTATGAGCTACTGGTGAAAAGTTAATTCATGGTCCAAAAGTTTAGCTCTAGTGAGTATGCTTTACTTCACAAAATTTTTGGCTTCTTTGCAGCATTTTTTCTGGCATTCTGCAGCAAACTTTATCAAAACTTCTGTCTTTACAGAATTCCAGTTGCCAATTCCCACTGAGTGAAAAAAATGCAGCTCACTGAAACATGATGGTTCTCTTCTTAGTCTAAAAATATTGCTTAAATCACTGTTCCAATTTTTCAGAATAGCTTCATGGAATTAAGGAATTCTATGTTTTTTACAACATTTATTTATCAGATAAGATAAATGAAATATATTTTAAGTTTTTAAAGGGAATTAATCTTATTTTTGCCTCCATTCACAAAGACATTTTCTATACATATTAGTAAAATATGAACTATATTTTCTAGTGCTTTTTATTCCAGCACCCTTACTTAAAAAAAGAAATTAAAAAATTAAAAGTGGAGCTGTGGACAATACTCCCCTCTAGGGGCAGAAACAGAATTTGCAATATTCCATTCAGCAGCATGTAATTTGTAAATTACATTAGCGAAATAAAACTAATAGGTCCTCCCAAGTGAAAGACAACCAGAATTATTAAGTCATTCCCAGCAGAGAACACTGCTCCTTATGAAATCTGTCTAAAGGACATGTTGTGTTTCTATATTCATGCAGAAGGGTTTTAATGCCACACATACATAGAAGCCCATTTATCAGATTTCCCTAGCAACATACATTCCATCAACTTCTGACCTAGACAACATATCATCAAAGGCAATATGCACAGAGTACATTTTTCTTTATAAGTAAACATGTGTGTCATGAAAACGTATGTCCTGACAAGTGCTAAAGCTGGAAGTTTGCTCAGCTGATCATACTTGGTATATTTGGAAGTAAAATAGGATGGAAGGTCAGCATCGGCTTGGCTGCTTTCCTCCTCCATTCAGGCAGCCAGATGCGAGGTTGCAAAAGCAATTCAGGCATCTCCGTCAATGACAGAGGGTCCAATCCTCCCTGCACATAATACTCCTACGTACAGTCTGGGAAGCTCGCAATTCCTCCTTGGAAACGAAGAGAATGCAGAGCTAACAGAGGGTTGTCTACACATCCACAGATCCTGAGAACTGAGTAAGCCTGATGGGAGCTAGAGGAAATGGGGCTGAAGCCCCAGTTTGGACTCAGTACCTTCACAGCACACTACCACTGAGACAAGCAGCTCTCCCCCCAAAAAGCCCAGTGCTGCCTATCTTCTCAAGAAAAGCCATCCTAGGAAACTGCTGAGCTGTTACCTTCATCAGGACATGCCAAGGCAGCTGAAGGGGCTGGCTGCTTGTCACAATCACCTCTGTACAAGTTGGGAGGGGATCCTCAAGCCACCTCCTGGCACAGCATTGCTCATGCTGCTGAAACTACCCATCATGAAAATCTGCAGCCTCTAAAGGAGCACAGCTCCATGCATATTAGAAAAGCAGGCTCCTGACTCATGTTTAAGCAGACACTCTTGAAAGTTATTACTTGCAATAGCGGAAGGCAAGCTATTTTAACAGTTTTGTGCTCCATTTCTTATCACATATGCCATAGTTGGTGGAAATTTTATTTCCGCACACGTGCACATCCACACACAATGCTCTAGCAAAATAGCAAAAGCTATGTTGAGCTTTTCCTCAATATCATATGTGTGGCATCTGACAATATTCTGCCATTTTCACCCAGCAGACATCCATCAGGGTAAAGTCACCCACAAGAACAAGGGCTGGTGATTTTGAAACTTCTTCCAGCTGCTTGTAGAATTCATCACCCTCTTCATCCTGGTTGGGTGGTCTATAACAGACTCCCACCAGGATGTCAGCCTTTTTGGTCTTCCCCCTGATTCTGACCCATAAGCACTCAACCTTATCGTCACTGACCTCAAGGTCAAGAGACTGTCTAACATACAGAGCCACCCCTCCACCTCTTCTATCTCTTCTGAAGAGCTCCACGTGCCTTTGTACAAAAGCATAATCTCCTCGAGCCCCAACAAGTCTTAACCATAGGTCCTGTGAGTGAACTCGAGACTTGCCCTCCCGATGTGCAGCATCGCGTGGTCCCACAGCAGGACACAGCACCAGCAGCAGTTCAGCTCCCCACTTGGTTGGGGTTGCCTACTGAAAACCCCAGCATCTCAGCACCCAGCTTCAGGCTCCTGAGCACTTTACTGGGTCTCAGGCACCACTCTGGGCTTGTATGTGAAAAGCTCTGAATAACAGTTTGTTGCTCGGTAGGTTTTTCCTTTCATATCTTTTTCAAGTGTTATCCATATAACTATGCTCTCGGAGAAAACCGTGTTGAAGATAGACAGCAGTCTTAATTACTACAGGCTAATTACCTTTAATGAGCAAATTGCCATACAGTGATGTGGGATTTAGCCTGAGAAGAACTTCACACAGTCCTCTAAAATCACCAATATTGTATCTTCTATCTAGGTTATGCAATGATGAAGTTTGACAGTATCCTCTAATCAGATGAGAAGCATGACCCTGAAGATCTGAGACACCAATATAATGTCTCAGTTTTGTTTTCAGGATAATACTTGCTAAAGCAGCTTCATAGTGCTGCTAGCTTATTTCATTTATCCCTATGATCATTTGCCTTTTAGTACTATTGGTGAAACGAAAAAAAATAACAAAAGCTCCAAGGGTTCGAGATGTACTGCCCCAGAATAAAGTCTCAGTTTCTGGTCTTGGAGACTGTTCTCCTGCAGTCTGCACTACAGTTGCAAATACAAACAGTAAGAGAGAACAGATCTTCATAAAAAAGCTGAACTGAATCATCAAATCTGTTGAGAATATGCCTTCCATTTAATCAAAGGAAATATTTAAGCACTAGCAGTATTCAGAAGCACTAGCAGTATTCAGAAGCTACAAATTAATTGGTACTTGTAGGCAGCAATTGTGTTCTCCATTTTTCTTGATATTCATGTAAATATGTGTGAAACATTGGTTGCCCAGTTCTAATAGGAGTGGAGAAAGTGATGTTCCCCACAGAAACTTGCAGGGTTAATTGGGAATCAGCATCAGAAAAAATCAATCCTGGTTATTACCTCATGGTATACAGCAGAGTGCCGTCATCCTCCAGGCGCAGAAGTTTGTTTGGGGTTGTCATGTTGTGAGCAATAGACTTCTTGCCATTGTGGAAGAAAGTGTCTGGGGTCCAAATCTTGCTGGCAAGCAGGTTGTTAAGAGGGAGGCGTTGCATAGGTCCTTTGAATCGCAGTCTTTCATCTTTCCAGCTTTGTCGGAAAAAAACATCAATGGTATATTCCTGGAACAAAGAAACAGTCAAGGTATTGCAGGATCTGAACAGAAGCAATAGTTCCAAAAATGACTTTAGCAAAGTAAATACAACAGAGTTGGCAGCCACATGCTAACTTACCATTTCTGTGTCTGACACAGGACCAAAACTGGTAACATAGATGTCTGTTTTCACCTGAGTTATTCTCTCTGTAATAAATATAGGGTTTGCATTAGTAATTATTTTAAGATGTAAATACATACTTGTGATGCATTTATCTATTAAAAATTTCTGAATCACTCAAAAATCCCCATAAGCTTGAAATTAAGAGGATGCTTGAGGAGACATTTCATCCCTGATCAAATGCAGTGAGTCCAGACTCCGTTCTTATAATCAGAAAGAAACAAGACTTTCAAGGGTGCAATTCCTCTGACTGACAGGCTTCTACAGATCATAGAAACACAGAATCATTTGGGTTGGAAGGGACCTTAAAGATGTTCTTGTTTGAACTGCCCTGCCATGGGCAGGGACACCTTCGACTAGATCAGGTTGCTCAAAGACCCATCCAGCCTGGCCTTGAATGCTTGAATGATGGTGCATCCACAACTTCTCTGGGCAGCCTGTGCCAGTGCCTCACCACCTTCACAATGAAAATTTCTTCCAAATACTGAATCTATATCTACCCTCTTCCAGTTTAAAACCGTTACACATTTGTCCTATCACTACACTCTCCAATAAAGGGCCCCTCTGCATCTTTGCTCTAAGCTCCTTTAAGCACTTGAAGGCTTTCATAACGTCTCCCCAGAGTATTCTCTTCTCCAGGCTGAACAACTCCAACTCTCTCAACCTGTCTTCACAGGAAAGTTGCTCCAGCCCTCTGATCATCTTGGTAACCTTCTCTGGACTCACTCCAAGAGGTCCATGTCCTTCTTATGCTGGGGCCCCAGAACTGGACATGGTACTCACAAAAGCAGAGGAGCAGAATCACCTCCTTCAGCCTGCTGGCCACCCTTGTTCTGACACATCCCACCATGCAATTGGTTTTGCTGGGCTGTGAGCACACATTGCCGGCACTTACTCAATTCCTACTATAGGGTGAGATGAAGTGTATTGGAAGGACCTATTCCCCTCTGCTGGCTTGGGTGATCTGCCCAATTTCAGACATCTATATTAGTGATGTCCAAAATTAGGTGAAATTATTTCTGCCCTCAAGTCTCTAAGTCCTTCTGGCATCTTTTCAAATCCAGTACTAATTTAATTTAAGGGCAGAAATTTCAGAAGTTCGTTATATAAGATAAGAGCATTGAGCCCTATTTTCAAGCATCTCTGTGTAAAGTGAGAGGAGAAGGAGAGAAAGGGATGAAAGCAATGTGTTGGTCTCACAAGAGGAAGGGGTGGGGGTAGCCAGATTAAAAAAGGGCCAGGAAGAAACATAACAGATGGTTTACACATGGGTAGAAGATGAGAGAAATCTGGGGGATAGAGAGCTGAAGGAGGGCTCAACAAGGTTAGGATGGCAACCTATTCACATGCTATTCACAACTATTCACATGCTATTCACAACCATTCACATGCTATGGTTTTAAAATAGCTGCTGTAGAGGTTATCAAAATGACATATCAATACAGATTTTCTGTACTTGTCTAAAAATGAATGTTTGGGGGATCTGTTTTTAAAAGAGATATGTGTCACCAGCATAATTTTATGTAGGCTGACCAGTAAGGGAACCTTGCAGCAACCTGCTAGCATATTGTCTTGCTCATCTTAGGAAGTACCAGAAAGAAAAACCCAATCTGTATCCAATTACAGAAAAAATGTATCGCAGATGCTCTCCTAACCCAACCTCAGATGACCTCAGTGACTGAAGGAAGACAACTTTCAGTGATTTTTTTTTATTGTGGCCCATTTGCTAGGAGACAAATCTACTTTCTGGACTTAGTTTAGTTAATCAAACACAACTCCCTCATCAAGGCCAAGAGCAGGTACCCATCTGAAAGGGCATCACATAGATGATGGTCCTGTATACCAGCAGACCGACCACAGCCAATGCGTTATCCTACCTCCCAGTCCTGGGCGCAGTCGGTTGTCGTAGCCGTCCAGCAGACCATCCAAGATCCTGGTGAATATAGTGATGTTGTCATTGGTGTCCTCTTTTCCTGACGCTGTTGGCGTTTGTGAGAAGCTATTTTATGCAAATGAAAGAAAACATGTCAAAAGCCATGCTGGTTTCAAGGGGCTTCAGTCTCGAGGGAACTTTGCAATGGAGCAATGGAGCCACTGAGCCTCTCTCCTCTCCTGCTGCTCCAGCTGAGTAGCACAGGGAGCTGCGGTGATTTCATCACTGCTATAAGCAATCCTAAATAGCTCTCCCTGGAGGAGGATCCGAAAAAGAATCCATGCCATGGAGGTACAACCCTGGGGTGCTGGATCAGGGGACACCTGAGCCCTTTGACCCTCTGTCCATAATGCACAGGTCCCCCATGCTGCCCTGTCCACCATTTCCCAAGTGCTAGCATTTCTCCATCCCCTGGAGGGAGCAAGATCAGCTCATGGGGCCAGCAAAAGCTGTTACTGGTTTTCACCAGGTTAGCTCTCCATTCTTTAGGAACTACACCAGCTGACAGTGGAGCTGCATGAGCAGCATGGGTTTGCCCTGGGGATGCACCTTCAAGTCTGCCTGACGGTACTGTCTAATCTTTAAATGCCAAACAGCTTTTAATTTTCAAAATTTATGTAATTTATTGCCAGAACAAAGGATGAACTCTAACCTTATTTGAGGATAACAAACTCCCACTACATTCAAAAATCCCACTGGGGTACTACTGGGGTATCTGAAAAACATACTGCTGCATAGAAAACACAGTTCTTCACTCCTCCTCTTTCTTTTGCATAAATTAGTTCTCCCTTGTAGTATGCAAATAACGTCACTGTGTAGTGGGCCACATTTCATATCTTTTGGGCCAGATTTGTTTTTAATTTGAACTCTTTTTTATTTCATCATTTTATCCGTGGCTCAGACCTAGGAAGCTGCTCACAGCTCACAGCACAACTAAAACTTGCATTTTTAAATCTGTTTGATTTTCATTTAAAGATGCTTAGGAGAATCCCCTGCCTACTAATGCCTTTGCTTACCTAAAGAATAGACATGGGAGATTATCCATAAGCATGCTTCACCTGCAGAAGCAATGAACGTTTCTTAAGACAGCAAGTTTCCTCACACTTGGTGCTTATTCAAGATTCAGCCTCTGCTGAAATCACCAACAAATGCTCCAGCTGAGAAAGGGCACATAGGCCCACTAGGAATCATATACTCTGCCTCGTGCCCACTGTCAGCAGATAGGAATTGCTTATGCTCCAGCAACCTGAACTCGATGCCAGTCATCAGGAGACAGTAAATAAATAAATAAATAAACAAATAAATAAATAAATGAAATCCATGTTCATTTATTACCAGTCCCCAGGGAAATAAATCAGTAAATAAATAGAGAAGCTCAGAGCATGTCTCTGAACAGCTTGCCTTACAGAATGGTTGCAACATATGTGTTTGGCTTACCTCGCAGAACAGGATTCATACAAAGAAAGAAGGGACCTCAACTTGGTTTTACCTACACAAGGTTTCCACTAATGGAAATGGGACTAATGGGACTAATAGGACCACTAATGGGACTAATGGGACCTCACTGACATCCATGTAATGGATCTGGAAGTTTTAGTTACAACAGACCTGGCTCAGAACAAGCTGCTCTTGGACACATATCCTCTCACAGACACGGGGACCCCCAGTCCTTGACAGTTTGTGTGCTTCTGCTGAAAATGGAAAGGATTGCAAAGCCTCTCAGAACAGGGGAGTAAGGCCAGGCAGTGGGAGCACAGGTCCAATTCCCTGAAACACCAAAGCCCATGCAAATGCCTGGTTGAGGATGTTCCTTGCGGTCTGAGTGTAGTTGGCACTGCTGCAACGCTAGCAAGATCCACACTGCAGAGCCTAAGGCCATCAAGGATCTCCCCTTCAATGCAGGTGGAGGCATAGCCACAGATCTTGACCATTTTTCAGGCCATTCATCTCTCCATGGTCAAAAGACCAAATTAATTCTGTTTTTTATGCTGTGACCACAACCTCCAGTGAGCAACTGAGGCAGAAAAGATCATGGACATGTTTGACTTCAATGAAAAACAATTAATCCAGCACAGTAAACTGATTACATAAACATTAGCCATCCTTGCATGCTGGACCATTCAAGATAAAAGACTGTACACCTTTTTGTCAACTGTAATCAAAGGGATTCACCACATAAAAGTGAATATTTACAAGTAGCAGCCTAACGAACGTAAAGGAATTCAAAGAGGAGACAGAAGTTACAGATGTTCTTTACATGCAGCGACCATAACTAAACACTTTGATAAAATCCTAGTGCAAACCACAAAAATCCAATACATCTAGAATACCATTTTCAACTTTTCTCATCTATTTTATCTTCTTTTTTTCATAAGAAAGAGATATGCATCATGCTGTCTGCCTGCTACACCGTATCAGCGTAGGAACCCATTTTCATTTTCCACTGCGTCTGACAAAGGAGTGGAGAGATCAAACTTAATTTCATTCCTACAAGTTTCATGAGAAGCTGTGACTAGACAAGGGGAGAGCAATCTAAATTAGTGTCTCATTAAGTAAAAATGTAAAGTTAGCAGTCATCTATTCCCTCTGGCTTCCTGACTGGGCCACTCAGCATACATGTAGCTCAGAAACAGCCTCAGCAAGATCAGCCCCCCTCCTCTCTGATAATTAAGAGATATGGAGGAGACTTCCAGGGTGATTAGGAAAGATCCTGGGAGAAAAGGACAGCAGAGGTAAAATGTAGGTGTTGCAATGCGAGATGAGAACAAGGGATGCCAAATGTAGAGCTGGGATTATTGCAAAGATTATGGTGCTGGGGGCACAGGACACAGGGGTTCACTTATTTTTCTGCTCTTGAAAAATCTTGTTATTTTTAGTGCTTATGGCTGAATTCAAAGCCAATGGAACTCAGAGGGAAGATTTCCATTGAACTATTTTTGTGGGGATAGAACAAAATACGCTTAGTTCTCATAACTGCTCCTCTGAATCTAACAAGAGCAATTGATGCTGCTTCCTTCTATCTCAGCTATGTACATCTCTTACAAGAATAGTACACACACCCCATATACTGAAATAATTCTATATCTCCACAAGAAAAGCTAATTAATAGAGGAAAAAGATGGAGAATCAACTACAGTGAAGACTTACAAAAAGTCTGCACTTCTGCAAAACTGCAATCCAAATTTGATTTGGCAGATCGCTTCACCCATAAAAAAAGGCACCTGATGCTAAATTTCAGTGAAATGACAGTATGATGGGAAGCTGCATTTGTAGATAGATTGCTGTTTGCTCTTGTGTAAATGTTACTTTTTCTTTCACAGAAAGTTAGTATTTAATTTCTGTTATTGAGATTGCTGGTGAAATGCATGTTTTGGAATAAGGTCTGAGATTGTATGTTATGACACAAGACATTTATAGTACTTGCAAAGTTACATACATACATTAGACACTATATAGCTCTACAAATAGAGAGGAAACAGGTGCTACCCTTAACTAATTATTTTCACACAGCTAAAGATTTAGTTTTATCAACATATTACTAGGTAAGCACATTATTGCCTCTCTGCAGTGAAAAATGTTTTTATAGCAGAAATTTTCAGTATGGATAAAAATAAACCTAGAAAAAAACCTTAGGAAAATGCTAAGAAAATTCAGAGATAATTGCATTTAAAGCTCATTATTGAACATAAACTAAATCAACCAGGAATACTTCTCATCACATTTATTTAATATTGCAATTCAGGGTAACTGAAAAAATCAGAAGCCACAGAAGGGGCCCATGAGTGTAAAACATAATAACTCTCTAAATATGCTCAGCTACCTCTTCCAATGAATACATCATTTATCATTTTAAACATTACTGTCTTTTTTGTCATCCAGTCAAAATCATACAGGTACTATTCGTAGTCTAGTTGTACTAAGAGGAAAATGCATGGTAGATATTTAATGATTTTTCCCAAAACCTCTTTTAAAAAAAGGGTAAGAAATGCTGAAAAAATAACTGAAGAGTATTTTGCTACTGAAAGATGTATTTTTTTCTCTCTCTCTTAAGAGAAGCATTTCCAATAACTTGCCTTCATAGGATTGCAATTATACCTGAATTTCAGACAAATTAACAGTTTGTGGGAAACACGGTGGAAAATATACTTGCAAACTTTTGGATACTGACGCTGGCCAGACATCAGAGGAAACAGATTTACTTTTCTAAGTTAGTCTCTTGCTACCCCTTTCTTACAGATTCTTGAGATCTAAAAATGTTGATGTTTTGTGAATTTGTGCAATGAAGATTCAGTTCTTTCACATGGGATTTAAACAGAGGAGAGGACTGACTAAAATGATGAAGCTTTAATACTATGTTCATATTTTTAAAGAATAATTTAATTCTTTTATTTAGAAAGATCAGTATTTTACTACCTTCTGGGAAAGAGCAATTTGTGAGCAGTGCGATGAAAGCCTGTTTTTTATGGAGTGACATCTTACAGTCCTCACCCCCTTGCAACTTAATGTCCCTTTCAGTGTCTTGAATTTCTTCCACGGTCATTAAACACCTCCCAGAACTCTCAGCTCTCCAGGTCACTGACCTGCAACTTCACTGGGAGGCATTGCATGCCAGGGCTTCTCCTAAACTAAGTACGTGCTGGCTGGCCGGCAGGTACACGCCTGCTATTTGGCCAGCTGGCTAACCAGAGATGCTGAAGCCATAGCCTTCTGTTCAGCAGTGGGACTGACTGATGGTTGTCTGACTCCTCCAAGAAGTTCTAGACACCCACTTAGTTTTCCAGTTACTAAAATTGTCTAATGGGTTAAAAAAGGTATCTGGAGATATGGAGAAGGAAAGGAAAACAGAATAAAAAAAATAAACAGACAAGCATGACTGCATGAGATATGATAATTCTTACAAAATTAGTCTTTCAAAATATGAGGAAGAACTCCCAAGCATCACAAGTACTTGGAAAGGGATATCCCTGCAGAATTAACTGCTTAGGGCTGCAGAGACTAACTTGAAATAACGGTCTAAAGGAGAGGTATGTTCTGCCTAAATAGTAGGATTATGGTCTTAGTGATAAGGGCTGTGAGCTAGAGAAGAAGTATGTGAAATTACAGACACATCATGGACTGAATTCTTAAGAGTGTACAGAGAAATACTGGGTTGGCTACATATAATTGGGATCTTCTGTTCTCTGTGTTTCTACTATTATAAATATTATTAGCAGATGGCAACTAAACTGTGGGTACATGAACAACGTCCGTCCCTGTTGGTTTTGGCTTTCAGACAGATTTCCGAAATTGCATGTCCAAAACAGGACTGTGCATCACCAACGTGTCCCCAGAGATGTGCCCATGGACGGTCTGGGACTTGTGCAATAAGAGCCAAGATACAGTAAGATTGGCCAGCATGGAGCTGAACACAGGCTACCTTGTCTCACACAGATCTGCATGCAAACAGCCACCCATGGCTCCAACCCTCACAGGGCTGCCAATACCTGGCCTCCCCGAGGGCCCACAAGGAATCAGTCTCTTGTCTTACCTGAAAACACTCTTGATGGTTATATTTGACTTTTAGTCATTCTCTAGCCTTATTATTAATGTTAAGTTTTAAGACAATTGTGAACTATCTTGGAATGCTTAAGTAAAATAACTTGCTAGAACATTATACAACTCAAGGCTGAACTCAAGCAAGCTTGAAAAAGCTTTGACTCATGCTGGACCGTTTCTGCAGATGTAAACTCATAAAACTGTTATACCAACAACAGAGCGAGAGGCGGGGAAGACTTCACATCCTCTTCTCAGTTCATCTACATCTTTGAATTTTAATTAATTCACTGATTTTTCTTTAAATAACTTCTACCAACTCTGTCTACAGTCCTTCTCTACTGCGTATTAGTGTGGATAATTCTCGATAGTCATTACACATTTATGTTAAACATTAATCACAGACTTTTGTTGAGATTTCTCAAGTAGCCTAGGAGATTGAGATATGTAATTTCTGTTTATTTAACCAGGCATTGTGCATCAAAATCCCCCAAGGTGGCTTTGACTATGTCAGCAAAAACTGTATTTATGATTTAATATAAATATGGAATGACTATGGAGAACTGTAGAAAAATCTCTGCTTCATCTGTAATGCCCTCCTGTATTTTGGTTTTTAATTTGTGCTCTTTCAACCAATCACTTTTATCAAGCATATTGCAAAACACACTGCAATATAACAGCACAGTACAAACATGGATGAAGCTAATAAAGAAGAACCTGCTATCAACAGCAAGTGTCATCAGTATTAGATTCCTGCAGTTAATACAGCAGCCTACATGTTAATTGTACCGTTCTGTCCTGAAGAGTCAGTCCCAAAGCACTTAGCAAATTACACTCTGAAACTGCTTCTGCCTCTGAAACAGAAGCACTGGAGCATCCTCTGTCTTTTGAGCAGGGTCAAAATTCAGCCCTAAGGCACTGTGTGAATGGTGCAGTGAATTGGAGCTGCTTATCTCTACAGGCCTGGACTAAAATTACTAGATTAGAAATGGGGGGCAAGGAGGGTGGGGGGAACTTATGTGATGATCTCATTTTAGTGCATAGAAGCTTTTTGACTAACTCACAGAAAACAAGTGTCCTAGTTTCCTCTAACTGTCCTGTTTTGATTATCTGCCAGGTTACACGTTATACTGATTCCTACCTAGGACCTTCATTCAGTATTTGCTTTGGAGTCAAAAGGGACAGTTAAACGCTCTGGCTTTTGGGTTGTTTTTAGGTTTGGATTTATTTTTTTTTTTACATCCTTGCCTATCTATTCTTCTGTTAGCGGAGAAACACAGTTAAAAGACCCCCCCATACCAAGCAGGTCATGCTCAACTATTGCAATGTGCTGCCTTCTGCAGGGACCATGAACAGTCAAGAAGGACTTAAGGTTACAGTCATCAAGATTTTCTTATTTTGAAAATACTTTGTCGAATTACAACAATGTAAAGACAAATTTAAAATTACTCCCACACTATCTATGCCCTCTTCATTTCTATCACAAAGTCCTGGGAGAGTTTTCCCTTAGACCACAGTGAAACAGGATCAAGTTTTTTCAAGGTGGATAAATGAGCGTACAACTCTTTGCATCCTTTGTAGAGTGTAGTCCTACAATTGTTCCTATAAACCACTGTGGTCACAGCCTTCCGTCTATGTACACAGGAGATGTGCTGGAGACCAAACTAAGTTTTGCTTACAGCGTGGACAGTCATCACTCAGTTTGGTCTTACTCCTAGTTCCAATCTGGAACAAGTCACTTTGCTTGAAATCATAAACTGATTTGCATCTCCATTTTGTGTCTTCTTATAGCAAGGAATTGATGGGTGTGCTTGTGAATCAGAATGTTGGGAGGATTCATTTTTTTCTGGTGAAATCATAAATAATTGTTCTCCTCCACAAAGAAGAATCAACCTACGTATCCTGAGCACTTGCAAAACGCTTTTTCCAGATTCCATTACATAGCTCAATTTTGGAAAGTTCTTAATATCTCTGGGTATAGGAAAAACATATAAATAGAGGGTTTCTGACATTATTTTTCATTTTCTAAGAGCTATAGTTGCAGTATTTTTTTGATACAGCTTTCAGAATATCACTGTCAGGGAAGCATCCAAAGCCAAAATAAGAAAACAGGATTCCTTGCTATATGCTTCAGGGAAACACAATTTCTAATTATTCTAACAAGTTTCAAACTCAGACATCCTTCTGAACTGTCACTATCTTAGCTTAATCACCAGGAAAGCCTGTACCAGCTAGTAGCGTGCACCGAGTCCCACTGTTGCAGTCTTGCACTACTGCCTATAACCTGCATCCATCAGGCAAGAGGAAAGGTGCAAGACCCTTGCATCACAGATACAGAAGCAGGGAGCACCACAGCCCCTGGCTGTGCTAAACCCAGGTCAGAGTACTCAGCATCTGTAGGCCTGGTCTGTGCCCTTTGTGCCCTCCAAGCCTTCCCGCAACAGCATGAAGAACTGACAGGAGAGGGTAAATCCGAACAGGAGAGTAAATCACTCCCTTCCCCCTGACACCCGCACATTAAGATGAAATGCAAAGCCCGGTTGTTTTGTTCAGCTGCTCCACACCACACAGAGACATGGTTTTTCATTTACTTAAAAAACCCACAGCAAAAATTCAAATACAATTGGCAACTCACCCAAAGTGGCTGGCTAAACTCATGGAAACGCAGAAGAGGAAGAAGTTTTTGATCATGATAAAGTCAGAGACCATCCCATTGTCCATTCCAGAGGAGAAAAGGAATGCAGGTGGTTGCTTTGGTGAAGGTGCAGCTGTTCACTTTGTTCTTACGCTGCAACAATACAAAAAAAATTGAAAATTATTGCACGGACAAAAAGCGGGATAGCTGAGTTCAGCTAACACCGCATCTTCTGCTATCTGCGTTTCTCACAAACTTATCTAAGCTTATGTAAACATCAGCTGTTTATGTAAAGTTGTATGTCTTCAAGGACATGTTTTACCTTCTGCTGACAGCAAACTGCAAACAGGAAAAATTCTTTGTGGCCCAGTTTTCCCTTATATTCATCTGTTGTATAAGTAACTAAAGAAAAAGCCACCATTTTCCAAATGCCAATTTCAACCCTTTACCTATTTCAACAACTTCCACATGCCTGCAAACCCAGGGCTGTGTGCAGCCTCCGCATCCTTTCCTTCCATCGCAATTTTTTCCCATTAAATACCCAGCTTCCCTTTCCAAAATCCCAGTTGAAATGCCAAGAAACACCTACTGCTTCTTGGAATTCATGCTGCTGATGCACGGCTTAGCAAAAGGAGGGTGGGTTGCTGGGGGGGTGGGGGGAGAGGGTAAAAAGTGACCTTCCCCTCAAAGGCACATAAACCTCACGCTAGCATGAAGAATGACAGTAATGTAGCTGCTCCAGTGAATGCCGCTTTTTGGATACCTGCCTCAGCGACCAGATCACCAATTTCAGCATTGTGCACTAACGTTTTCCTCTGTGCCCTATTAAAAACAAAACAAACAGAAAAAACCAAACAAAAAAACCCAAAACCACAACAACCCCCCTCCCCAAATAAACACCAAAACAAAGCCCAAACACACTAACAAACAAAACACTGAAAACCCAACAAAAAACCCAGAACAGACCCCAAAAATACACCCTGAAGGGAATTGGCTGGATTTTCCACCTGAATCCTGTGCCCCCGCGCTATATCGCTCAACAACTTACTCTCCCACCCCGCCGGCAAGGCAAGACACCCGAACCAAAAGCCGTCCCCCGGGGCTCCCCCCGCCCGGCCCGCGCTGCCCCGCAGCGGGTCCCGCTATCTCTGCGCCGCTCCCTACCGGGCACTGCGGGGCCGCCGCTCCCTCCCGAGCGCCCGTAGCCCTGGCCCGCCCGCACCTGTCCGGGCACCGCCGCTCACTCGCCGCCGCCGCCCGGGCACTGCGCCCCGGGGCGCCGCGCACCGCTCCGCAGGGCTCCGCGGACGGGGACACCTGCCCGCCCGCCCCGCCGCCCCTTTCCCTCTTCCCTCCCCAGCGCCCGCGACGCCCTCGGGCTCGCCCCCCCCCTCCCGCCGGCCGAAGTTTCCCGCGGCCATGTGCGCGGCGGTGTCCGCCCGGGGGTCCGCGGCCGGGGCTCCCCGCCGCCCTCCGTCCGCCCGGCCGGGCGCGGGAGCCCGGCGCTTACCAGCCGCCGGCGGGGGGACGAGGGCGAGGGGGCGGTGTTTGCCTGAAAGTTGCGGAGCGACAGCGGGAGCGGGAGCGGCGGCGCTGCCTCCCGGCCGCTGGCAAGCGCGGCCCCGCTGCAGCGCCGCGCCCGCGCCACCCCCGCGCCGAGACCGCGGCCGGGAGCGCGGGGAGGTGTGCGGGGCGCGCCCGACCCTCGGGGACCCAGACGGGGACCTCCCGGGAAGAGGCCGCTCCCGGAGCCGTCGCAGCCCCGTGAGGCTTCAGCGGCTCCCTGGGCTCCCCGCGCCGAACTCCCGGGAGCAGGTCCCACCGAGCGTCCCACGGGCCTGGGTCCCGGGCGAGTCCGGCCGGCACCGACCGTTCTCGGGGAGCGGGAGCCCCTGCCACAGCCTGGCCCTGCGGGTGTCCTGTAGCCTTGAGGCAGGGGCATGCACCACGCCGGAGGCTTGCCGGTGTATACGCTCCTTACACCACACATGTATAAGCCTGCATATATATACACACACCCATACATACCCAGATCTGTATCTATACTCCTCTTCTGTAGCCGATGGACCTGACCTAAACCATCATAGCTCTTAAATGATGAAGTGGCATTTTCTATCCACAACATAAACTCTCTTTGTACATCCTCATTATTAGACGTCCAAGGTTTGTATCGGTATTAAAAATTCCAGGAGACTTGCAGTAACTTCGAGGTTTCCTTGTGATTGCGTGTGCTGCTATTCCAGAAAAATGGATGCACTGCTTCACATCCTCAATAATGGGAGCTTTACACTTGCTACGTGTTCGTCACATATGTAATGTACTGCTTGCAGGTGCATTTTGAACTACGTGAAAGATGAAATGAGTGTTGTATGATGTTGTATGATGAAATGAGCCCCAGTTCCCGGGGATTCCTTGGGATGCATACAATATTTTGCAGCGTGCGCATATTACACATGATAATATGATTGCAATATATACTGCTGTGATCGTACTTTGAAATAACACTGCAAACTTGGTTATTAAATTACCAGATCTAACAAGGTAACGCCTGTCTTTAAGGGAACATTATGGATCAATGAAGCATTTGTCTTTTCCCTATATCCATAAAAAAGGCCTATGAATTTAATCCCTCCACTGAAATCAGTATTGATTCTGTAGCTCATTGCCACAGAGGGTGCTGCTGTATGTGTGCCTAGTCCATGGTATGCACCGTCTGAGTTGAAAATAGGTTCTTAGGAATTTCAGTTTACATTTTTTCCCACCTAACAAAACTAGAAATGTAGCCCCAGGGAGAATTTCTGTGTAAACAAGGAATAATTTTTCTAGTATCAATTGAGTAGCATTTTCTCAGGCAGTTCTTTGTAATTCCCCTCTTCAATATTCCCTTGAGACTTATCAGGGTTTGGACTAGATGATCTTTAAAGGTCCCATCCAACCCAAACCAGTCTATGGTTCTATGGCTCTATATGTGGTGCTTAGCTGTGTTCGAGTTTTACAGCAATGATTTATGATCTTAAATGCAGAGCCAATGACATACGTTGTTCCTCGTTGTTCCTTGGTGACTTCAATAAATATGAAGTTGTGAATGAATGTTGCTATCAGAACAGCTTTCTGGATGCTTAAAAATATCTGAGTAAAGTAGTATGAAGCGCCAGTAGTTTCTCATGATAATGTTCCTGCCTAGGAGCGTTTAAATCACATTTTCTACAGTGCTTTCATTTCTGGTATGAACTATTTATATCTCCATATAGGTGATGCTGTAAAAATATGTGAGCTTTAAATAATTTTACAAAAGTGAGACATAGGAATACAAGCCTAGACTTTTGTGCAAATGGGCAAGAGCTGCGTGTTATGGCCTCTTGCTCCAGCTCCCCAGTGAGCAGAAGTGTGCCTCGGTTCCTCTGACTAGTTCCATCTTCTCCACGAAGCCATATGCTGCAGATCTGCTTCTCAACAGCAAAGGCAGGAAGCGCTTAGGAATTAGGGGAGCAGAATAGCAAGAAAACGTTAAAGGAAAGCTTAAAGAAAAGAAGAGATAAACAAGAATGGTAGAATCACAGAACAGTTTGGGTTGGAAAGGAATCTTAGAGATCACCTAGTTCCACCCCCCTGCCATGGGCAACAACACCACGAAAACGCCTGACTCGGCGAAGGGGCGAGCTGAGGAGTGCGGGTGTCATGCAATCCGGTGCCGCCCACGCCGCGCCGAGCCCACCCGTTCTTCCCGCCGTGTCACTGTCACCGCGGTGGGCGACCTCGGCCAAGGGCTGCTGTTCGGGCCACCGCCGCCGGAGGGCAGCACAGCTCCACACAAGCGGCCGGCGACAGCGCGGGGGAGCCGGGCAGCGCCCGGGGTGTCACGTACCGGGATGCTCAAACACTGATCGCGTACGTTTTCGGGCTGGATCCCGGCAGGACGGTGGCTTTGGTCTGTGATAGCAGTTATTGCCAGCAATAGGAGAGATCGCTGCTTTGAAGGCAACGGTATTGTACATGTCTTCCGCTTCTTCAGGCACTCCTTTCTGATTCACGCTCACCGTGTTTGTAATCCTTATCCTCCTTGTCACGTTTGAAAGGACATGTTGAATTTAGTATGTAAAACAATTACTTTTTATTGGGGTCAGGGAAATGTTTTGGTTGGTTGGTTGATTATTCTCTGTGCTGGTGTTTAGCAACAGCCGGCACAGCCATTCCATACTGTGTTTTTCCTTCAGATTTGGTAGAAATTTTGTGTGGTCCCTCTCTGACATTTCTCCTCCCTACTTCATTAAGTAGCGTTGCTTATTTGTAGGGACAAATGTATTTGAGCTAGGTCATTCTCTACATGGTACTGAAACAATAGTGCAGGCAAATTGGGCTGTGATTTTTACTGTGGTACACACTTGGGAGCTCACTGGGAAATGCACACCAATCCCTAACACTGACACTCTGTGTTAGAAAATGGCCTGTTTTGCCAGCAGCCAAAGGCATCTCTGTAATTGATCAAGTCATTCCTTCTTCCAGGAGAGCTACAGAAAACTCATGAACTGTGTGAAGGTGTCAGAATTGAGCCAAGTAGGCTCTTCAGAGATATTCTCTTCTACCAAAACAATTCACTTCTGACATCTGGGTGGAGAGGACTGCCTGTTTTCTTGAAATCTTCTGCCTTTGGCCTCCTAGCTAAGACTCCACAAAAGGCAGCACTTGGAATAGTGACTTTGGTGATACAAATCCTTTTCCAATAGAGAGCAGTCTGAATTCATCAGTCATTGAAGGAATCCCTAATCATCAGCTAATACTGACTCAGCCACTCGCAACATAGAGACTGGATCTGAACAAAAGGTGAAAGTCTTGTTTTCACTCCTTTCTGCAACAGTATCTGTAAAAACTACAGCCAAGAGGCTTTTACTCAGCCCTGGTGAGTGCTGGGTCCAGCTTTGGGCTCCCCAGTATGAGAGAGACACGGACATAGTGGAAAAAGTCAAGCAAAGGACTAAGAAGATTATTTAAGGACTGGAGCATCTCTTCTATGAGGAGAGGCAGAGAGAGCTGAGACTGTTCAGCCAAGAAAAGAAGATGCTCAGGAGGGAAACTTATCTGTGTGTATTAATACCTGAAGGTAGAGGGCTGAAGAAGAGGGAGACAGACTCTGCTTAGTGAAACCCACTAACAGTATGTAAATCTTATGAGGAGTGGCTGAGGAAGCTGGGGTTGTTTAGCCTGGAGAAAAGGAGGCTCAGGGGAGACCTTATTGCTCTCTACAATTACCTGTGGGCAGGTGGGGGTTGGTCTCTTCTCCCAGGCAACAAGTGACAGGGTGAGAGGTTCAGGTTGGACATCAGGAATAATCTCCATTATCCTCCAATCTCCCAGGCAACAAGTGACAGGGTGAGAGGTTCAGGTCGGACATCAGGCTAATCTCCAGAGGTGCCCTCTAGCCGCAACCATCCTGTGATGCTGGAAGCTATGAAAACTATGTCAACCTGTGAAACTCTCTGTTACTTTCCCCAAACTATTTCCGAATTGTATCTGGTAGTGAAATGATACAAACAACCTTGCTGATGTGAGAGGTAATAAAGTCAGATAGACTTCGAGGGATTTGATGTATTTCTGAATGATAAAGAGGGATATCGATAGCCTTTTTTCCCTTCATGTATGCCCACTCTGTAATGCCATGGACACCGTAAAACATGACCAGTGCACTGCATTTCACTTTTCTGATGGGCCACACTGCAGATAGAGCTGCATTTTGGACCTGGTGTTTTGATGGTTTCTTCTGTGCACCCCAGTGGCAATAGGGAGCTACTTAACTGAGTTTCATGAAGGGTGGCTTGGGGTAGTGTAACACTGGGATGGATTGCTCAGAGATGGTCCCTTTTAGTGTGACACGGAAGACATCAGTGGCACCACTGGGAGTGAAAGGCAGGTGACTGTCTGCTCTGTTCCAGCAAAATTCCAGCTGGTTGTGAAAAGCGACACCTTTAACAAGTGACACTGATGCTTCTGCGTGCTATTTGTTGTGATACCCAAACCTGCAGGTTCAAAGGTCTTCAAAACTTCATCTGATGCTAATCCTGAGCAGGTTGCTTTTTGCATGCATTCAGTTTAGAAATGAATGAAAGGCTACATTTTGTCTTTGGCAGTTCATGCTGTCTGTTATGGGCAATCT